CGAAGCCCGAAGCCAACTAAAGAGCTTATGATAACTAACAAAACGCCTGCCATTTGATATAAATCAATCTTATCCAACGTGGCGTTGATTATATCCTGTGAATGACCTCCCTGCTAGCTGTTGGCAGCTGGTCGCATTAAGTCCCCCTACCGCTTCCAATTTTGGAATCCAGGGGCAATAACTAGGAAAGGATGGGTTCGATCGTTAGTTTAAAGACATCTAATTTACCCCAGAGATGATTGTTCCGATTCACTTAAATTCAGAATGAATCTCTTGGTAATCGCACTTGCGTTCATCTCCCCTCCCTCCTCCCCACCTATCAATGACATAAAAGTATCGAAAAAAAGGAGGCTTAAGCCTCTTCCCAATTAGTTAAAGTAAGTGAAGTATGGATTCTTTCGGAATAAATTACCCGCACCCCATATCATAGCACGCCAGAATCTCCTCAACCCCCCCCCCGGCACCCTCTCCACCCTCAGGCGCAACAAAAGTAAAATCGGGACAAACAACTGGCGTTTTGTAAGCAGAATATGACACAATAAGTCGGGATAGAGGAAAACGTGATGGAAATTTAGGTCTTCGTAGCGAAACAACATGGCGCGAAGGTAAAAGGAGTTCAGATTGGCAATGTTTGGAGGAGGAGGGGGGTGGGGAGAAAAAAACATTTGAGTTCGAACGATAACACAAATAAAGGGAGGAGGAGGAGGAGGAGGGGGAGGGGAGGAGAAGTGGGATACCAATCGTTCGGTGGCTGGCAGATATACACTAAGACATATATTTGTATAAAAATCGATAAATGTTGATGACTTATTCACTCCGTTTGAGGGTAAGGAAGAGTGGAATAGGAAAGGGCCCAAGTTTGGGGGGAGGGATGTTTTTCTAGAAGTCCTTATCCCAACCTGACATTTCATCAGGTGGTACATCATCCGTAGCTGGGAATTGATCGAAATTGCTGAAATCGGCAGGACCATTAATCTTCGGATGGAACGGTGACTGAAGTGTTCGATTCCTAACACCATCCCAATCGAAGCCTTGGAAGTATCTGTAAAGAACGAATTTGCTCGATTAGTAACTCGATTTCGCAATAACAGTCTACTGAATTAAGATGAGTAGGGCGTGCTCACTTTTGGTTTCGGATTTCTTGAATGCCTTGGCGACCCATACCAAGTCGCTCGGTTGGGGTATTTCGACAAAGACGTTTGATAAACTGGTATGCCTTCACACTGATATTCTTATGGTGACTTAGATCATACGCTTCAATGCCTCTAAGGGCTTTCATGTAGATCTTGATTGGTTCCGAAGCTTGGAATGGCGGTCTAGAAGGAGAAACGAAGTTGACTCATCACTTGTAAATGACACATGTATGGGTGTCAGACAAGTTTTACGAAAGCAACTTACGTTCCCATCAGCAATTCACAGGTCAGGATACCCAAAGACCAGTAATCAGCAGCGAAATCGTGACCCTTGTTAAGAATAACTTCAGGAGCAACGTATTCAGGAGTACCACAGAAAGTCCAGGTCTTTCGTTGGGCTCCAAGACGCTTAGCAAAGCCGAAATCACACTAAAAATTCAAGACACCACGAGTAGTATGACTCATCTGGCAACCTTAACTTTCACCGTTCAAGTGACTCTTACTAGTGTAATGTAACCATTTGCGGTGAGAAGCATATTTTCGGGTTTCAAATCACGGTAAATAATACCATGATGATGGAGATAATCAAAAGCTTCAATAACACAAGCCAAACTAAACCGGGTCAATTTATCATCGAAGGCGCGTCTGGAAAAATAAAAAGAATTAATAAAAAAAATAATTAAATGTTAATTTAATTACTAGACATGCCTAGTTTTCGTATGCAACTCACCTATCTCGGAGAACCGTCCACAGTTCCCCACCAGGACAGAATTCCATCAGCATGTAAACGAACTTGTTGTCTCGGAAGGTTTTAAAAAGTCTAAAAAAAATGGAAGGAGTAGGAGTCATGAGGACCCTCGAAGTGAAGCAAAGTCCGCATTTGTCGTCATCAACAGGGGCATATGGTCTTTGCTTTGATATGAATATATAGAAGGCATTACGTAATCACGTCAAAAAGCTGATATGATACCAAACTGGAGAGTATGGACACAAACAAACAATTCTGCTTTGGCTACTTATATTAATTCACCAACTTGACCCTGGATCTTGTCAAAGGAAGAATGACTTTCTTCCTCACTGTTTATTAACCCTTTAAGCGTCAATGCCTGTCTATAGCCTTCGCCTGATACACCCCACCAAAACTCATCACATCGGCGGCGTCGGTCTGCGGCTGTAAGACACGCTCGAATGCTTTTGGGTACACCTTTTCGACAAAAATAATAATTCGGCATTAAATGACTAAATATGCACCGTAATTTTATGAAGAAATTGGATCACACAAATTCTATCCGTTGAAAATTTAAGGGACAGAAGCAGACTGTATGCGATTAACTCGCTCTCTCTAAAAACGGCCAAATGATTGAATGCGAGGTGTGCGATAGACTTACCTCCACGTAGTGCACCCTGGACAACGTATACTCATACGGCAAAAAGTCTATTAACCGGCAGTTGACTTCTGACTTCAAACTACCCCCACTGTATGTCATATTCGATCACTTTCCCAGTACTCATCTTACCTTTTCTCTGCTCTTTTGTCGGTCTCTGTCAAATCTGTGAATCATTATTCTGTCCCCCCTCTCGACTTTTTGTCCCTTTGATGTTCCTCCTTCTCTCTGTGAAGCCTGGAAGTCAGCTAAATGACTAATGATAACTATCAAAACGCCTGCCATTTGAAATAAATAAATGATTAAA